ATTTGATCCATGGACACCAACTATATATTAACATTACACCCTTCAGATGCCTTCTCTGAGGCAGGTGGTTAAAAAGTGTGAAATATCAATACATAAATAAATATTTAAAAAATTTAAATCCCACTACTAAAGAATATACTCCAAGTACTTTCCTAAAAAATTAGATGCACAGAGAAAACCCACTGATCAGAGGTGGGTTTCAGCAGGTTCTGACCAGTTCTGGAGAACCAGTAGTTAAAATTCTGACTGCCCCCCCCCCCTGCCCATCTATTCTCTGCCTCCCGAGTCCCAGCTAATGGGGAGGAAATGGGGATTTTGTAGTAACCTTCCCCTGGAGTGGAGAGGGAATGGAGATTTTACAGTATCCTTCCCATGCCACGCCCACCAAGCCATGCCCACCAAGTCATGCCACGCCTACCAAGCCACGCCCACAGAACCAGTAGTAAAAAAATTTTGAAGCCCACCACTGCCACTGATCCTCCGTGTTGCCTGCAATGCCAGAGTCTGAAGAAAGAAGCTGAAAGAAAGCATGTTTACTAAGCATGAATTTAACATACACTGAACTGTAACGTGGCCAAAAGGTTGTAGAATAATAATTATTATACACACCTCATTTTGTTGCAGCTGTTTTTCTGACCCACAAAGCAGCAATATTATAGGTGTTTTTTTTTAACCCAAAGGCAAATCAAAAGATATTGTATATTTGCTACTACAAGTTCAATTTTAGAGTAATTCTGAAAACACACCTCTTAGCAAATACCGTATTCATAAATAACATTTTTAACCTCATATATTTTCACTTCTATATTTGCACAATGTTTCAAAGAAAATGTCATGCTTAAGTTAAGTCTTTCCTTGCTTTAAATATCACAACGTGCTTGTTTTGAAAATATCAGTTTTTCTTAGCATGATGTTAAAGTATCCTCCATATTGGTTAAAAAAAATAACTTTCAAGTATTTCCAAAAACTTGGGAGCGCTATTCTTTATGAGACATACTTCACACGCTTTTGACTGTAAAATCTTAGAGGGAAGGGAAATAAGTCGAAATGTCCAAACAAGGAAATTATGATCAGACATTCCAATATACAGAAATCTAGTGCACAATCATTGAAACAGACGCAATAGGAGCTGTGGTGGCAGAGTGGTTAAAATGCAGTAATGCAAGCTAACTCTGCTGACTGCCAGCAGTTCGATCTGGATCAGCTCAAGGTTGACTCAGATTGTTGGGGGCAATATGCTGACTCTGTAAACTGCTTAGAGAGGGCTGTGAAGCACTGTGAAGCGGTATATAAGTCTAAGTGCTGTTGCTATTGCTATTTTGCATGTGCCTTGTTTCTATATTGCTGTTGCCCAGTTTTGATCCAAATTTTGATCACATGACCCTAGGGATGTTGCAATGGTTGTATGAAAAACAGTCATTAAGTCCCTTTTTTCAGGTCACTAAATGAACTTGTAACAGTTGAGGACTAGCTGTAAACTGAAAAGGAATGTTATACTCTAATGGAGATGATGGCTGAGGAACAGTAGCTGAGTTGCACTTTTAATCATCAACTCTCAGTTTCATGGTGTCAGCTGTTAAATACAATATTTTTAGTAGCTGCAATATTATTTCTCAACTAGCCTCAAAATAAATGAGAAGCAAGATCTAGCACATAGTTAAAAAGCTTATAAATGATCCTTGAAATGACTATCTTTAAGTTTATATTCTTCAACCTTGCAGGCTGTTTTGTTGAGACAATTGTCTATTCTTCTGCCGCTTGACCAGAGGTGTCAAACTCAAGGCTCACGGGTTGAATCCAGCTCGCAGGGTGCTTAGATCCGGCCTGCGAGGCCACCCTGGAAACAGTGAAGGACTGGCCCGCGGTGCCTCTGTCAGCAAAATCGGAGGTCGGGAGGGCTGCATGTAGGAGCGCTGCACACCAGTGGTGGGTTTCTACTGGTTCGCCCCTGTTCAGGCAAACCAGTGGCAGTGGTGGGAGGCTCTGCCCACCTGCCCGGACGTTATCAAGGATGCTCTGCGCATGGGCAGAAGATTCTGTGCATGCGCAGAAGTGCCGCATGTGAGCGAAGCAAGCACACATGCATGCTTCCGGTTGCAAACCGGTAGCAAAGGTAAGAGGAACCCACTCTCCAACTGACACAGAGTGTGGCCGTGCGGGTGGTTATGGGAGTGATGTGGCGCTCCCATGTAACACCTCTCCTGCGCGAGCTGCACTGGCTCCCGGTGGTCTTCCGGGTGTGCTTCAAGGTTTTGGTTACCACCTTTAGAGCGCTCCATGGCTTAGGGCCTGGTTATTTACAGGACCGCCTGCTGCCGCAAACGGCCTCCCACCGGCCGGTACGCTCTCACAGAGAGGGACTCCTCTGGGTGCAGTAGGCCAAACAATGTCGGCTGGCAGCCCCCAGGGGGAGAGCCTTCTCTGTGGGCGCACCTACTATCTGGAACGGTTCCTCCTGGAGATATGGAGGATCCCGGATCTACGCACCTTCCGTCGCGCTCTCAAGACCTTTTTATTTCACCAGGCTGGTCTGGTCTAACTTCTCCCATTCTCTTTTTAATGTAAATTTTAATGTAAATTTTAATTTGTTCTTAACCTGGGGTTTTAAATTTGCCTTGGGCTAAATTGATTTAATTCGATTTTACTTCTGCTCTTAAATTTTTGTATTCTATGTATTTTATCTTGTGCCTGTTCACCATTCTGAGTCCTTCGGGAGTAGGGCGGTATACAAATCAAATAAAATGAAAATGAAATGAAATAAAATAGTGCCACACGCCCACCCTGGCCACGCCCGCTCCATCCCCCAGAGGTCAAACCCAACCCTGACGCGGCCCTCAATGAAATCGAGTTTGACATTCCTGCTCTTGACTGACCCTCTCTTTGACTTACTTAGCTCCCATTATTGTAATATCTTCTCTTCTGTTGTATCATCTGCCTAAATCAAGTGTGAAGAATCTGTGGTCCTCCCAAATGTAGCTGAATTTTGACCTTCTCCAACCAACCAACAACATGGAAATTGAAATTGAATTCTCATTCATCATAATCTATTGGTAACAGGGTGTTCATCTCTGTTCTGATTATAGCTCCAGCATTAAATCAAAGTGAAGCTTGATGTGAGTGGGTTGGATAACTTTTTTTTTTAGCATAAAAGGATTCATCTTGAAATAAAATTTAATTGCAAAAGCATATAATGTTTGGATATGGAGGCAGGACAATTAAATGTGCTAGTATTCAGTTTCACCACATAAAAGAAAGAAACCACTTAAGGTTTCCTTTTTCTCCCTCTCTTTATTTTATAGATTGTCACAACAACAGTTAAGATAGGTTCTGGATTTCCTCCAGCATCTGGAGAAGCTAAGAAATAAAATAGCAGCCAGATATTTCCTTCATTACTTCTTCCAGTAACAGTTAAGAGGAAAAAAATTACTTTTTATCTAATGCATTCCTTATGACCTAATTTAATTGTTCCATATCTCGCTAGGCATTAAAAGCATTTGTATCCTAACCTCTATTCCATTAGACTTCTTTGTCAACAATAAATGAAAGAATGCACCAGTCTTTAAAGGTGCTTTTTTTTCCCCAAAAGGCAACTGAACTGTTTTTTTTTCCTTGAGGAAGAAGAACAAACATTTTGCTTCTCATCCAAGAAGCTTCATCAGTTGTCCATCACCTGATGATCATCTCCATCATCATGAACTTCATCAACTTCATTGTAAGCTTCTTGGATGAGAAGCAAAACATTTTTTTGTGTTCTTCTTCCTCAAGGAAAAAACAGTCCAGTTGCTTTTTAGGGGAGAAAGCACCTTTGAGACAACTATCACCTGAGAATCCCCACAGACAAGAATGCACCTGATGACATAATTCAGCCTTCCTCAACTTGATGCTCACCAGATGTTTTTAAGACTTCAAGAATTCTCATCCAGGGTAGCCAAAGTACCTAGTAGACATCAGGATATTGAACACTTGCACAAGTAAATCATAGCTGACCCCAGAAAACTGTGATAATTTTGGTCAGAACCTATTAGACACATTCTTGGAATTTTATCTAGTTTGCCCTCTGTTCAATGCAGGTTAGTTTTGCTGTTGAAAAAAACACTTATTTGTAAAACAATAGTACTTAGACTTATATACCGCTTCACAGTGCTTTGTAGCCCTCTCTAAGCGGTTTACAGAATCAGCATTTATTGCCCCCAATAATCTGGTTCCTCATTTTACCAACCTCGGAAGGATGGAAGTCTTAGTCAACCTTGAGCCTGGTGACATTCAAACTGCCAAATTGTAGGCAGCCAGCAGTCAGCAGAAGTAGCTTACATCTTTGCAATTTCCACCCAAGTTCTAATATTGATAACCTGAAAGTAACAAAGAACTTTGTTCCATTTCCTATATGAGAACTTGAAGAAAGTTACCATGCCTCACCCTTAATTTTCTGCCCTGCAGGCTAAATGTTCTACACGTTTTCATTTATTCTTGATAAGACTGCAATTTCTATGCTGATCTTTAACAATAAGGCAGAGTAGTCCTCGACTTAAGACCACAACAGAGCCCAGAATTGCAGTTGTAAGTTGTTGCCGGCCTAAGTGAGGCACCACATGACCAGATTTGATTTTATGACCATTTTTATGATGGCCATAAGTAAGTTAGTCACTGGCGCAGTGGTTAGAACGCAGTACTGCAGGCTACTTCTGCTGACTGATGGCTGCCTGCAATTTGGCAGTTCAAATCTCACCAGGCTCAAGGTTGGCTCAGCCTTCCATCCTTCCAAGGTTGGTAAAATGAGGACCCATATTGCTCGAGCCAATATGCTGACTCTGTAAACCGCTTAGAGAGGGCTGTAAAGCACTGTGAAGCAATATATAAGTCTAAATGCATTGCTATTGTCCTTGTATTTACATAAATATAAAGGACGGAACATTTTATCATATGTGGTGGCAATGCCCCAAAGCAAAGAAATATTGGGAACAGATAAGGAGATGGTTACAGGAGATAACAGGAGAACAAACTGAATTTAAACCTGAACTATTTTTATTGGGAATAATTAATCAAAAGATAAAGAAGCAACTCCAACATATCATTTTACATATAGTAACAGCAGCACAAATTGTTTATGCCCAATGTTGGAAACCTGAAAATATACCAGCCAACGAGAGGATTATTCATAAGATATTAGAATGTGCCGAGATGTATAATCTCACATTAGAAATAAAAGGCAAGGAAGAAACAGAATTTTACGAGGTTGGGATAAGTGGTATAAGTGTTTAGAACAGAGAAACAAAAATGTATAGAAATAAATGTAGATATCTGTAAGAGACACATGTCACAGTACTGTTAAAAAATGCTTATTGTTATGTAAATTGGAAAAATGGAAAATAAAAAAAAAATAATGCATGGCTATCGTAAAGTGAATCACATTGTCGGTCTAGCTTGCCAGCAAATGTTGTCTCATGCAGATATTCCAATGCATATTGTTGCTACTTTTTCATGCATTGTTTGTAGTCAGTCTTTGTAGTCAGCTGTTATGCCAGTCTTCTTTCAGTAGCTCACTAGGTAGTCCACTATTTCTGCAGCTTCTTTGCTGTCAGGTTGTCTTCTGAATGTTCTTCATGCCAAAACCAAGAAAGCAAGAAAGTGTATTGAGATTTTCCGTTTTGCATGTTTCATATTGTGTAGTATCTTAGTTTGAACCCTACAATTTTTGACTGATCGCTTACTAGATTAAGAGGGTTTTTCCCCCCCATAAAGTAGTCTTCAGCTGCTTATTTGCCACTAAGATGAAGCTGACTCAAAGAATCAGCTTTCTGGATTTCCCTTTCTGGATTTCAACTCCTGCCTCCATTTTGCCCAGTGATATCAGCTGTTATGCCTGGACCACAGTTAACTCAATCTTTGATTGGTGTATTCCCCTGTTTTTTTTCCCCCTGCCACCTATGTCTGGAAAGCAAGTGCCAATTTATTTATTTTTTCCTCTGTGCACATAGCATTTGAGAACTGGTGGGGGGGAAAAAGAAAAGCACCGTAGTTTTACACCCCCTTCTCACTTGAGCCAGAAGAGGAAATTTAGCAGAACTGCATTTCACCCTTGAACTATTCAACCCACTTAAAAAAATAATAGCATTTCACCATTGTTAAGAGCCTCGGTGGTGCAGTGGTTAGAGAGCAGTACTGCAGGCCACTTTTGCTGACTGCCGGCTGACTGAAATTTGGCAGTTCCAATCTCACCAGGCTCAAGGTTGACTCAGGCTTCCATCCTTCCAAGGTGGGTAAAATGAGAACCCAAATTGTTGGGGGCAAGAGGCTGACTCTGTAAACCGCTTAGAGAGGGCTGTAGCACATTGTAAAGTGATATATAAGTCTAAGTGCTATTGCTATTGTACTTCTGAACTGTAATTTTTTTTAAAAAAGGCTGCCCAGCAAAGCATTATGAAATGGCCATTGAAGTCATGAGAGCAGAGAACAGCCTGTCAAATCATAGAATCATGATTCATAAGGAATCATAGGATGGGAAGAAATCTTGGAGATCTTTTAGTCCAGCCCCTTGCCCAAGGCAGGAGTCCTTACACCATCCCGAACAACTGATTGTCCAATTTTTTTTTAACTCCAGCAATGGAGAACCCACAATTCTGAAAGGCAAGCTGTTCAATGGACTAATTGTTCTCACTATCAAGAAATTTATCTATTCCATGTTAGATTTTTCTCTGACTAGCTTCCACCCATTGCTTCGTGTCTTGCCCTCAAGTGCTTTGGAGAATCAATCAATCAATCCCCCCTTACCTTTGACAACCCTTCAAGTATTGTAACTTGGCTATCATGTCACCCCTTGGCCTCCTCTTCATACCTAATCCCCTTTGGGATTGTTCATCATACAGTTGAAATCAGTCTGGCAAATTGAAGTACATGGGATCAGAGGAACATTTGTGTATGATGGAATGAAGTTTAGCAGGAGAGTCAAGCTACCTTGTTTCCACCTGCAGAGAGAGAAAAAGACAGAGGTGGTATTCAGCTGGTTTGGACCAGTTCGACTGAACTCTGAGCTCTGACGATCAGCTGGCCCCACCCACCTGTACCCGCCCTATCCTGTCCTTTATTTCCTGCTTTCTAGTGTCAGCACTTCAAGCTGCATTTACTCTAGTGCTGAAATAAGAAGGAGAAGTGGAGGCGACTGGAAAGGGACGTTTGACTTTTCACCTACTTATTTTCCCTGGAGATAATATCCCCTAGGAGATGGGATGGGAGGGGGGAAATTCCTTTGAGCTGGAGCAGTAGATTAGGGGTAGAATGACTTGGAAGATGGCCAATGAGTGCAGGGGAGTAGGAAATGGAAAGGGAGTGTTTGGGGTCTGGAAGTCACTGTTGGCTTTGATGAGTCGGAGGTAGAATGTCGTGCTTAATAAATGGGAATTTTGCTTCAAAGACTTTGTTTGAAATGCAATTTATTTGAGACGACCTCGAAACCTGACATCTAGCTCATCTCAATCGCGTGGCACAGCTGATTCCTCCTCCCTCACTGTTCTGCTTACCATTGCTGACTTGGAAGGTAAGCAGCTGAGCTTCTAAATGCTCCATTTTCAGCGCAAAGTGTGTGTTCACTGAACTAGTTGTTAAAAAAAATTGAATCCCACCACTGGAAAAAGACTACAGATAGTCCTTGACTTACGACCACAATTAAGCCCAAAATTTATGTTGCTAAGTTAGAAATTGGTTAAGTGAGTTTTGCCCCACTTGATGACTTTTCTTGCCACATTTGTTAAGTTGTTAAATTAGTAACACCATTGTTAAGTGAATCTGGCTTCCCCACTGACTTTGCTTGTCAGAAGGTCGCAAAAGGTGGTTGCATGACCCCAAGACACTGCAACCGTCATAAATATGAATCAGTTGTGAAGAATCCGAGTGCAAATCACATGACCATGTGGCTGCTGCAATGGTCATAAGTGTGAAAAATGATGATAAGTCACTTTTTTCCGTGCCATTGTAACTTTGAATGGTCGCTAAATGAACTGTTGTAAGTTCAGGACTACCTGTACTTTTAATCCTGAACCAGAAGACTTGGAGGGATCACCCTCCCACGAAACTAGGGATTGTTTAGCGCATGTCATCTCTTCCTGAAATTGTGGTGCCCCATCTTTGTACTGTGCCATCCAAGAAGTACAGATTGGCCCTTGGATACCTGGAAATTTGTGCGTACAACACAGAAGGGCTAATTTGAAGACAAGCTTACCATATGGGACATTAATGTTTTTCTTGTTCTGTGATAGACTATTTTTCATACATCTGGGACAGGAGTCGGCAACCTTAAACACTGAAAGAGCCACAAAGGTCCTAACCAGAATCCCCCCATTCAATTCTGGAGCCGACTGGAAATCCAGTTCCCCCACCATAGAGTCTCTTCCTAACACAGCATCCTTTTTCCTATGCTGACCGGAAGTCTGGTTCTTCCCCCCCCCCCACCATAGAGTCTCCTCCTAGCACAGCATCCTTTTTCCTCTGCCGACCGGAAGTCCGGTATTCCCCCACCATAGAGTCTCCTCCAAACACGGCGTCCTTTTTCCTATGCTGACCGGAAGTCTGGTTCCCACCACCATAGAGTCTCCTCCTAGCACGGCATCCTTTTTCCTCTACCTGTCCTAACTGAAAGCCCTATCAATTGTGAAGCCAACCGGTGACAAGGAGCCACAGCAGAGGGATGAAAGAGCCACATGCTGCTCCAGAGCCGCAGGTTGCTGACCCCTGATCTGGGAAGATGCTTAGGGACATACGAACCAACTGATCATTACAAAGATCAGTGCTCCACAGATGCAAGAGATGCTGGATGTTTTCATATTAGGACACACTGAGTTCTGCCTTCTCTTTTTGAAACAACAAAGAACCTCCAAATTGGCCAAGGAGAACAGAGGAGAAAAGAAGCAGTGCGGTTAATAATGTGAGCTGGGACAGAACATCATGAAATAAGAATGTCTTGGTTTCTAGGATTAGATACTAGTAGGAAAAAAGGAAACCTCAAGGTTTTTTTAAAAATAAATCCACTCCATGAGTTATTTTCCCTGCAAAAAGATTAGTTCTCTACCACTCAGTATTCTTTGCCATCTTTTGTATTATCCATCATGACCACTTGAAGGTCTTCAAAGAGATAGAAGCTGCAACAGTGGCACTGACAGATTTCTGGACGATGGATACTCTTCTCCCCAGACTGTGTGTGCAGAAAAGTGAAAATAATAGGTGTGCAAGGTTAACTAATTATTTTCTTCAAAGTTGCCATCCAACTCTTTGTGGGGAACTGGTTATTGTGGGATGTGCTACGTGACCCAAAAAACTGTGTAGGATTTCCACCTTTTGCAATAAAAGAGAATATATGCAGCTCAGGGTTGATTTGTGGAGTCCTTGGTTCTTTCAACTCTTGGGGGGGGAGGGTTTGCAGACATTCCATTACCCAATTAGGTAGTGCCTTCAGTGTAAATGAGTATGGGTTTGCTCCCTACAGCAAGCTACAGTATGTTAACAGGGAGCAAACCCCACACTCACTCCAGCTGATGGTGTTACCTAGTTGGGTAATGAAATGGCTGCAAGCAAACAACCAAGCTCAGAGCTTCACAATTTCATCATTTGGCTCCCTTTGGATTGTTTATTTTTTAAATAATAAGGATATCTTCCTTGAAATACAAAAGTAAAAGCAATTTCCCAGAAGATGTGGGAATACATGCCAATTTAGCATAGTCAATCATGAGATGCAGCCCTCCCACCACTTAGAATAGAATAGAATAGAATAGAATAGAATAGAATAGAATAGAATAGAATAGAATAGAATAGAATAGAATAGAATAGAATAGAATAACAGAGTTGGAAGGGACCTTGGAGGTCTTCTAGTCCAGCCCCCTGCCAGGCAGGAAACTCTACACCACTTCAGACAAATGGTTATCCAACGTCTTCTTAAAAACTTCCAGTGTTGGAGCATTCATAACTTCTGGAGGCAAGTTGTTCCACTGATTAATTGTTCTAACTGTCAGGAAATTTGTCCTTAGTTTTAAGTTGCTTCTCTCCTTGGGTGAGAATTTCCACCCATTGCTTCTTGTCCTACTCTCAGGTGCTTTGGAGAATAGCTTGACTCCCTCTTCTTTGTGGCAACCCCTGAGATATTGGAACACTGCTATCATGTCTCCCCTAGTCCTTCTTTTCATTAAACTAGAGATACTCAGTTCCTGCAACCATACTTCTTATGTTTTAGCCTCCAGTCCCCTAATCATCTTTGTTGCTCTTCTCTGCACTCTTTCTAGAGTCTCAACATCTTTTTTACATCGTGGCGAACTTCCTCATAAGTGTATCTGAATGATTCATATTTTTGTCAGCTTTGAGCCAGGTAAGCAACTGTCCTTTAAATTTTCTTTTAATAGATTCTATGCCACTTTTCAGTTTTCTTAAAAAGGCATATTAGAAACAATTTTTAAAAAATAACATTTAGTTAGACAGGATTTTTTTTTCCCCAGTAAAAACATTCAACTCTGTTCCCATCCTATTTCTTTTCATGCAAAGCAGGTAAACTTCCATTTCTACTTCATGGCAGGTAACAATGGGCGCAGATTTTTCAGCCTCAAGTATTCCCTGCTAGTGGACATTTTATCAGCACCTTAACACTCCTTGTGGGGAAAAAAAGCATCTTTTTTCCCCCAAAATGAAGAAATGATAAGCATCCACATGACTCTGGACATCTATTTGCTTCCTTTGCAAATATGTTTATTGGCCAGATTTTTTAGTCTGAACAGAAGTAGGTAAATTATTTGAAGCAATCCATAAAAACAGCATTACAACCAGGACCATGTTACTTTAGTCTAAACAAATGCAGGTTGTTTTTTTTAAAAAACGAAGTCCAGGCTGGAACAGGCAAAATCTCTCAGTCTGCATTCATTTTGCCTTTCAGAGCATGGCAGGTGATGGAAGAGAGACCAGACTATGTAAAGGTAGTAAGGTTGATATCTTCTTTATTATCAGGCTGCCCAGATGTAAAGGGAGTCTGTAATATTTATAATGTGTCGTCTGTTATCGTAAGCAGCCTGACGTGATGGATGGGAGACAGATTCAAAGGTGTCAATTAAGAAGAAAGTGCTTTACAATATTTTTTTTTCTTTTTCCCCTTGCGCTGCAGATTCTCTCTTCCGATCCGCGAGCATTGGGCAAAAAATTGGGTCCTTTGTCGTATTTTAACTTATTATTCCTCAATGAACTCCTTTCACTATCTAAAGAGGCCATCCTGAAATCCACTTGTGCTTTATTTAAAGTGACATATCGGCTTAAAAGGAAATGACTGGTATTTAAATATCAGGTAGGCTACAATGGGGAAAAAAAAACACTTTCAAGAATGTTTCCATTTGATGACTTTTACAAAGTCTGGCCCATGCAATTAGCAGCTCCCTCTCCCATGGTTATTCCCTAACAGTAAAGGTATACAGCAGGGGGCGGCAACCTTAAATACTCAAAGAACCATAAAGGTCCTAACCGGAAGACACACACACACACACACACACACACACACACACACACACACACACACACGTTCAATTCTGAAGCCAACCGGAAGTCCAGTTCCCCCACCATAGAGTCTCCTCCTAGCGCGGCGTCCTTTTTCCTCTGACAACCAGAAATCCGGTTCCCCCACCATAGAGTCTCCTCCTAACATGGCATCATTTTTCCTATGCCAACCGGAAGTCTGGTTCCACCCCCACCATAGAATCTCTTCCTAGTGCAGCATCCTTTTTCCTCTACCTGTCCTAACCGAAAGCCCTATCAATTGTGGAGCCAACCGGTGACAAGGAGCCACAGCAGAGGGATGAAAGAGCCACATGTGGCTCCAGAGCCGTGGGTTGCTGACCCCTGGTATAAAGAGACGTGGCATTTCTGATTCTTGAACTAATAACTAGCCTTCATAATCAATTACTAATTCTTTTTCACCAGGCAGCTTTGGCACTTTT